TTTTTCATGAGCACAAAATCAGCATATTAGAATGATTTCTGAAGGGTCATGTGACACTGAAGACTGGCGAATTGGCTATTAAAAATTCAGCTTGCCATCACAGGAATAAATTACATTTGTAAAAATATATTAAAATAGAAAAAAAGATATTGTAAATTGTAACAATATTTCACAATATTACTGTTTTTACTATATTTTTTAACAAATAAATACAACTTTGGTGAAAATAAGACACTTTTAAAAAAATATATGACCTAAATATAAACATATACAGTATATATATATATATATATATATATATATATAATCATTAATAAAATATCAGTACAAAACAGTATCAGTACAGAAACAAGACAAATAGATAGAACTAATTAAATTTGCCATTGTTATTGTATATGTAGACAAATCACTTCACATTCCAATTTCCAGTTTTAAGTTTCTGCAAATATTTATTTTTCAAGGTCACTTCATTATTATCCATATTGTTTCTGCCTGAGGCAAATCCATTAATCATTTCCCCAAATCTGAATTCACATTTCAAACAACCTCATGTATTTCAAACATAAATTCCCTCTATTTATGCAAACATACCACAAACTGGCCAAAAGCCATTCATCTTCAGTTTAGTGGCTGGTGATTTCAGAGAGTCGTATCAAACCTCTCTACAAGTAATGCATAATCACTTCTCATTAATTTCAACAGTCTCATTTCAGCATCAAGCCATGAGTGTAATCAAGGAATTGGCTGTACCTCTGCTAATCAGTCTGCTTTCTTCTGAAGCACTTTTGTGATATAGTTAACTTGATTTTTGCAGCAGATGATGGAGGGCAGTCACCAGACTTCTGAGAACGCCAATGAACAAGTCAATGTCCCAGAGGAGCAGCCAGTGGACCCCATGGAGGACTTCAGCAGGCAGCTAGAGGATATAATCAACACGTATGGAGCAGCATCCAGCCTGATGCAGGAGCAGATCTCCATCCTGGAGTCTGAGGAGAGAAAGGAAGAGGAGGCAAAGGCTGATAAAGAGGCCGACCCACAAGAAGCTGGTGCCACTCCAGAGAAGGAGCAGATAGCTGATAAGAAAATTCTCAAGGGCCTGGGTGAGCAATTGGCCTTTCTTCTGTTCGTTTGATAAACAGTGTAAATGTCTTGAGATTAAACAGACAAACTAAAAGACTAAACCTCACAAAGAGAATTTTGAGAATGGCCAAATCAGTCAATAATTGGTCAAGAAATGATATGGGTCATTCTATTAAATAGATGCCATTTTAAGTTTGACAACCACATAAATAATAAAAATTACAATGTGCCGTGTCAAGTTAAAGCAGCACTATGTAACTTTTTCTGTGTTCAAAATTTGCTAAATGTATATAATGAGCGAGTACATCATGAATTCATCTTCCAAACCGCGTTTTTGTCTTATTCCGAATCACTACGGTACACTTATAAGTACTTATATTTGGACTATTGTAGCCTGGTCGGGTCGTCACCGCTGCGGAGTAACACATACCTGCGTGAATCGCCATAGACATAAACTTAGAGAAGTAGCTCCGGTTGGAATGTTCTTCCGCGGGATGTGTGCAGTTCTGTTTATTAACCGCTAAAGCGCCAAAAGTTACATAACGCTGCTTTAATACAGTAAAACAGTCATTTAAAATAACTGTTTTCTATTTTAATATATTGCAGAATGCATTACTGTGATTCAAAGTTGAATTTTTAGCTGCCATTACTCCAGTCTTCATTGTCACATGATCCTTCAGAAATCTTTATAATAAGCTAATTCGGTGCTTTAGAAACATTTGTTATTATCAATGTTCAAAACAACTGTGCTGCTTAGTATTTTTGTGGAAATATTACCATGATATCCACCTTTTTCTTGTTGTAAAAATGGGCGCGGCCATTTGTAAATTCTATGGGTCTGGTTTCCGGTCTCATCTGCGTCCACCCCGTCCAGCTATTTTTAGCTGAACAAAACAGTTAGTTTTGCTGCTTGATATTGAAAGTTGGTGTGTCTTATCATATTATTTTAATGTATTATCTTAATTATGAACACACTGGTTTGTAGTGCAAGTGTTTTACCGTTTACTGCACGTTGTTATTCTCCTCGTTATTTACCTATAGCGGTTAATGAACCGGAAGTCTCACCCATAGGCTTACTTCCGCGTTGAAGAAAAAGGTGGATATAACGATATATACAGTACATCATTTTTAGAATTCTTCGATAAATAGAAAAAGAAAAGCATTAATAATTTTAAATAGATTTTGTTGTAACATTGTCACATTTGATCAGTTTAATGCATCCTATAAATAAACAACAGTATGAATTTCTTTTGAACAAAAAATATCCCTTAACCCAAACATTTAAACAGTAATGTATGATTGAGTGACACAAATGACATTCATTTTGTTAAATGACCCACAGAGCAGAGATTTCAGTTAGAAAACGGATTGCTGTTTTATGTTTGAAAAATAATGCCATATGTAGCACCTCTCAATCGCACAGATGGAGAGTCATAAACAGTGATTGGGTTTTTCTATCAGCAGGATGGTCAAGTGCTATGAGTGTAGTAATCAACTGTTTGGAATATTTCCATTCTCAAGGAAAGAATGCTCACGTCAATACTAAAGCCCACTTCATCATCACCAAATGAAGACAGATATAGTGCTTGACTATAGTTTTCTGACACACTCTGGGCTTAAAGGAAATTTTTACACAGGAATGAAAATTCTGTCATCATTTACTTGCTCATGTTGTTGCCAACCTGTATGACTTTCCTCTGTGGAACACAGAAAGAGAAAATATGAATAATGTACTGGTCATGCATTTTAATGTAATTAAAATGAACAGCTGTTGGAGCTTTTAAGATTCAAAAAGCACACATACATGTAAAAAAGTCCCATAAATGAATCATGAAATATCATAAAAGTGGTCCATATGACTCATGCACAATAGTTCAAGTCTTCTGATGTCATATAAATAGCTTTGTGTAAGAATAGTCACAGATAAATTGGGCTGGTGGCCACTGCAACCAAATTACTCAATGAGTCTATGAGCTTAACTGAAAAACTGGACCAGTCTGGTTAGTGAACAAATCATTCTGGTTTTGTGAACTCATTCAAACTTTTCAGTTTGTTCCTTACACAAAGCTGTCTTAAGACTTCTGAAGACTTGGAATACAGCACAAAAATGTTACGAGCCACTTTGACAGTGTTTTTTACGGGTTTTTTTTTTTGAGATTTATATAGAAAAAAAGACAACCGTAAGGTTTTGAATGACAAGAGGGTGAATAAATAATGACAGAGATTCATTTCTGGATGAACTATCCCCTTAAGGCTGAGTATATGTCTTGTGCCTTGTTTGCTTCTCTCAACCATTTTATCCTAGTAAACGCTATCACGCTGTGATTCCACTACTTCTCCCGTTGATTTGTTTTGTAGCTTGCGTGCAGAACTCTCCCTTGTGGGCTTCTGCTCATCTTCTTTATCTTTTCATTCTCTGATCTGAACGGAAACCGCTTGTCTCGTAGGTAAAGAGGCCGCATCCTTATTGCAAAGCCTGAACAAGTTCGGCTCACCAGAAGAGAAAGTGGAAATGGTGTTGAAGAAATACACTGAGCTGGTGAGTATCCAGACCCATGAGAGAACGCCGCTCTCTGAACAGTTTTCACCGCCGGCAACAACAATGCATGGAGGACAGTTAAGAGGAAACAAATAGAACACAAACCAGATTGACACGGAGAGAAAATAAAAGAACGCCTGGTGTGATGTTAAGAGTGGTTTCACTGATACTGCGATGACCTAAATATTCGACGCCCTGGGCTGAATAAGCGAGTCTGAACACAAGGCCATATGCCACACAAGATAGCCACAACACTCTCTTCAATTTCAAAATACAGAGATAAAGACAGGGACATATGACAGAAGACTACGAAAATCAGACAAAATCAGATCTTGTTCTCAGATATATACAATCTAAGGGCTCTGTGTTAATGTGGAAAACTGGACAAGTCTGTCATTCCAAAATCCTCTTGAGGACGTCTGAACAAGCAGACAGACAGACATTATCTAAAGCAGCTTTAGACCAGCCAGAGGTGTTAAAGCGGCGTATGAGATGATGTATGGATCACACCTGTGTGTGTTTTGTGCATATGGGGCAGGTGGAGGACCGCAGGACTGAGAAGAAACAGCTGGAGCAGCTTCAGCAAAGAGAGGGTCTTCTGGTCAAGCAGAGAGATCAGCTTCAGTTCGAGCACAGTCGTGCCATTCTGGCCCGCAGCAAGCTGGAGATGCTCTGCAGGGAGCTTCAGAGACATAACAGGACACTGAAGGTGAGAACATTGTCTACTGACAGCTTAAGAGATTGAGAAAGAAAAGTTAAGCTATGATATTACTTGGTAGGTTTATTTTTTGGGGGGGGTATGTATATTTATGATAAGAAACATACATTCTTTATTTTGTCTGAATTCATGCGGTTTTTAAAATAAACATGCCTATTTTCTTATGCCATTTAAATGTTTGGGGTCAGTTGGGGTCAGCTGTTCTTTTTAAGTTTCTATGCATCAAAAAATCTTGAAAAAAAAAAGAAGTATCATATCTTCCACAAAAAAATATTATAATTTCAACACTGAAAGTAATAAGAAATGTTTGATGAGCGACAAATCAGAATATTTCATTGACTCTGAAAACTGCAGTAAATTACATTTTAAAATTGGAATAATATTTCACAATTGTATTGCTTTTACTGTATTTTTAATCAAACAAATGTAGCCTTTGAAAGCATAAGAGACTTCTTTAAAAACATTCAAAAATCTCACTTTTGAACAGTAGTCTATGTTAACAAATACAAATGCTAAACTGCAACAAAATTTTCATAAAACTCACAGCTGCATAATTAAATACTCTTTAAAAAGTGGTAGTTTTTTTATAAAATTATATATATATATACACACACATTTATCATTTAAATGTTTTAATATTTTTAGAATATTTTTAATTTTAGAAAAAAAAACTAATTAGTTGACCACAAAAGCACACTGTTGCATTTTTGCAAAAATAATACTCTTAATTCAATTGTCTCATACTTGCATATACTGAATTTATGGGGGATGTTGCCATTTTTCTATCACTAAACTAAAAAAAAATCTAACAGATCACATACTTACTTGAAATACTGCTAAAACTGAAATAAGAACCACTTGTAAAGAAAAGCAGTCTGACTGACATGAACAGCGATCAATGTTTTGTTTTTATGTGCCAGTAAGGGGTACATTTATCTGAAACAGATACAGTAGGACCATAATAACAGACCTTATAGCAACTTCTTGTTTGACATGTGGGAGAGTGTTTCCTGTTATCCTGTTACCCGTGTCAATGTTTTGATTGCTGAGATTGAGTCGATCCAACTTACTTCTGAGGAGACGGCGTTTTTGAACCCAGTGGGACGTTACTGCAGTGACTCTGTGTCTCTGCCTCGATGAGACACTGACTTCTCAGACTCAAAGCGCTGCTGACAGGTCACTATGACAAGAGGGATAGTGTTACCGAGCTTCAGTGCCATTTGCCCTTCTTTTATAAATCAAAAGTCAAAAAGAATGTCTCGCTGGCTCAAATCACTGCAGAGGCTGTGGCCTCCTGTACTTCCATTCTGTTGATGCTACAGCGACTACATCTACATCCCAGATAGAATCTGCAGAGGTTTTCATATTTTCTGTGCTAATTTTGAGGTGAAATCTGCATAATGGATTTAACTAGGCAACTCCTTAAAACGATTTACACATATAAAGAAATTCATAGTACAGTTATGATCAGATTATTACACTTACAAGCTGTTTTATTTTACATTTAGCAGTTGAGATCACATGTTGAGATCATGTGACCGACTGAAAACAACTCATTTTATTGTGTAGCCTATCTAGACACCACAAAATAGTGCCATGAATAGTTTGTGTTCTTATGCCAAATATACCAAAAACATAAAAACAAGAACACAAAATGATCAAGTTTGCATTCGAAAAATAATTATCTTCATATATTACATCATAAAGGTCATGGTTTTTTCAAAAATAGCTTACATTTTTATAAACAGTGTATAAACTCTCATTACAAATAAGAAGGATATGTTTTAAAAAACAATCTATGGCGATTTCAAGCCTTGGTTTCGAAACATTTCGAAATTCCTATGGTTTGACACTATGTCATGAACCAAAGATCAGTTTTAAAATGTGTGTTAATTCTTAATAAATGAAATGAATTTTAACATGTGTGTGTAATACAAAAGGGAGAACAATCAAACAAATGGGGGAAGTCGTGGCCTAATGGTTAGAGAGTCGGACTCATAACCCAAAAGGTTGCGGGTTCGAGTCTCGTACCGGCAGGGATTGTAGGTGGGGGGAGTGAATGTACAGCGCTCTCTCCCACCTTCAATACCACGACTGAGGTGCCCTTGAGCAAGGCACCGAACCCCCAACTGCTCCCCGGGCGCCGCACTGCTGCCCACTGCTCCGGGTGTGTGTTCACGGTGTGTGTGTGTGTGTTCACTGCTGTGTGTGTGCCCTTTGGATGGGTTAAATGCAGAGCACTAATTCCAAGTATGGGTCACCATACTTGGCCACATGTCACTTCACTTAAAAAAAAAAATATTGAATAGTTTTCCAAGCCCAGCCCAATAACACACAAGCAGTACACATTAATAAATAACATAACACAAATTTGATGGAATGTCATATTGAATAGTGTTTAAAAAGCAAAGCGAATGATTCATTCAGGGTTTCAAAAAGCTTCATTTTTCCCATCACTACCTTCACTAGTCTCATGTGTTTGATTCAATAAAAAGAACCGACTCATAAGAATCATTAACAAGGGAATCGGACTTCACTGGTCGTGCTGTATGTTTCTGATGCACGTAAACGGCACCCTAATTTGTGAATGCCTCTCTCAACTGAGCTGCCATATTTGTCATTTTACATCACTTATTCAGCACTTGAAATGTTTCCAGTTGTCGGATATAGCAGTCCACTCATTTCTTTCACTCTGCCAAACAATTATGTTGCCTTCCAAGAGACAATTTCACCTCCATTCGGTGAATGTGTACATAATATGAAAGATGTTATGAATCTTGCGCAAAGCACCTGGAGCCATTTTCTCAGCGACAGATTTCGGTCCATTTGTACTATTCGCTGAACAGGTGCTGGAGGACTTTGTAGGTAGCGGTTTCTGTCCCAGCATGCTAACACACACACTTTTTTCTGTTTTTGAGGAGCTTTCTAATCACGTTTGTGTTGCTTTTTCTCCTCCGGGCATTGAAGATATTAAACTCTTGCTCCAATATGAACTCTGCATGTCTTTGGAAGTTGATGCTATCCTTCCCTAGAGGCTGGCTTTGACCTTGTTCACTCCCCAATCAATTTAATTCAAGTATTATGGAAGCCATTAATGAGCAGGTCAGAGCAGAACATCTAAGCCCTGTGTGTAGGTGCGAGGCTCAGCTATGAGGACGGTAAATTAGATTTAATCTGGGGTCATTTCCTTTGCACTTATATGAGTGATGAGCTTGCGTAGTGGTAATACAGCTTCACCTTTCCCGGGGTGGGAGCTTGAGACTCATGCCATGTGTAAACACAGGCAAGCAAACAGATTCAGCCCTGGAGAGGAACGCTCCATGCTTGGGTTCCTTACAATTAGCTGAGTCAGGAAGCTGGCGCCTCTGAAACAGAAGCTCATGTTTACAAAGCGCACACATTGGATGGCAGGACTGTTTAGCATTCACACATCCGATCCCAGATACTAAAAAAGGATAATATTGTTTATTAGTGCTACAAATATAGATCTCATAGAGCTTAATACGTCATTAACAACATTTGATTAATAGGATCATAAACTAGCCTTCACTATTCAGATCTTGTAAGGTCGAAATAATGCAGTTAAAGTAGCGGTTAGTGCACCTGCTTTGGACATGTTGCACTATGGTGCTCATGTGGGCCACTCAGGTTCAAGTCGGGCCTATAAAATGTCCATTCCTTCTATCCTTTATATTTCTTGTCACTCTCTACTATATCTATAAAATAAAAGCCCCTTCCAAAAGGTTGTCCCTTAATTATAACTTATATATATATATATTACGTTTATTAAAAATAATACATTTTAATATTTTATATGAAGTAAAAACTATTATAAACCGTAAACTCGATCAATCGATTGATCAATACTTTTTACACAATAAATAATGAAAATGTACGTTTATATTAATTTGTAACATGTCCATTAGTTTTACTATTTAATTTTGCCACAAAATTTAATTAAAAAAAAAGTGTACCTGTCAACCAGTGTTATTTTAGTATTATCTTTATGCTATTGTAGTGTTTACTAATATATTTTGAATTTGTTCATTTTAATTTTAGTTTAAGTAGTTAAGTTCCGGTTTAGTCATTTAGTTAAGTTTAGTAATGTGCTTTTGTCAGATTTATTGGTCAGAATCTATTGGTTTTAGTTATTTTAGTACACCTCAGTTTAGTTCAGTTAGTTGAGAATGCAAATTTCTCATTTTTGAGTGTTTTTAAGTTGAGGTTTTCATCTAATATTTATATTTTATTTTATTTCAGATTTATTTGAATGAACATTTTTAAAATCGTTTTTGTGTTAGTTAACAATGACAACACTGTTATCAGCAAGACAACACTTTAAGTGAGGAGCATGACTGAAATAAAATATGAAATATTATGAATATATTATATTACTATTATTTTTATGAAATATGTCATGAATGAAGCAACAAACGAAAAATAATCAAGGTGAATATCAATTGTGATAAATCAAGATGTCAAATACAAAATATTGTTTAATTGTTTGGATTTTATGCCATATAAAATGCAAACTATGAAATCAGCTTTAGTAAGAGTTGGCCATTTTATTCCACAAATGTTTAAAATATCATTTCCTTCACTGTCATTTCTACCACAAAATGCTATCAAACACAATACATTATTTGACTTTGACCATCTAATCACAGCTCCGTCTCACGTAATACTAGATCTAGATTGCTTTCTTAAGGCTGCATATTCCCAGATTTCCCACACGTTTCCTTCTCTCTTTCTCCCTGCAGGAGGAGAGTCTGCAGAGGCTGCGGGAGGATGAAATGAAGCGGAAGGAGATCTCCGCTCATTTCCAGAGCACGCTAGTGGACATTCAGAATCAGATCGAGCAGCACAGTAACCGCAACAACAAGCTGTGCCAAGAGAACAGTGATCTGGCCAGCAAACTCAATACCATCATAGAGCAGTATGAGCGGAGAGAAGAGGTACTGATGGAAATCCACACACATTACATTAAATCCACAGGACGTATCTGTACACATAACATCTAGATTTGAAATGCATTAAATCCACACATAAGCAGAGCTCCAGCAGGCCCACCGTTCACAGTGCTTCTGCTGCAACAGAACTCTATTTTCAGCTGCACAGCACTGTGCTGTTTATGTGGGCAGTGTGAAGACTGTAACCTGTTAATATGGGCCCTAAAATAAATATGTGCTTGTGGTGTGAAGCAGACCGAAGACCTGTGCAGCGAAAGCCAGCAAAATGAATTGAGGATTTCAAACACCACAATATCTAACACATCTGTCAAAGCGATTCAGTCATAAATCCATTTAAAGCTGCACCCCAAGGCACAGTCGAGATTAGATTTTGGTACAAGTAAGTGTGCACCATAAATGATTGTGATACATTTGATAATGCATCTGATTGGATTTTTTATTCTGGTCCAGCAGAAAAATGTTATGAGCCATTATTGGGGTTCCAAACTTATTTTAAACTCTGCAACTACAGCCGTCAAAAGTTCTGAATAATTACGATTTTTTTCAATGTCATATGTCATGAGTCTCTTATGCTCACCAAGGGTGCATTTATTTGATTAAAAATACAGTAAAAAACATAATTTTGTGAAATATTATTACAATTTATAATAACTGGTTTCTATTTGAATATATATAATAAAAAAATAATAATAATAATAAAATATCATGTATTCCTGTGATGGCAAAGCTACATTTTCAGCATTACTCCATTCTCATTATCAGTGTCACATGATCATTCAGAAATCATTCTAAGATGCTAATTTGGTTCAAGTCATTTTATTATGTGCTTTTGTATTTTTATTATTTTTAAATATTTCTCTCTACCTTTAATGTATTTTTATTTTAGTTTTGTTTTGCCATCATTTTTGTGTATTTTGTTTAGGTTTTTCATTGAATATTTATATTTGAATTTATTTCAACTTTTTTCAGTTAACGAAAACACTAATTGAAATATTTTTTATAGTTTTAATGTTTTAATAATATGTGTAATAGTTTTAGGTTTAGTCAACAATGACTGTTATAAACAAGAATGTAAAGATTATGATTGAGAATATAGCATCACGAGCGAAGAAATCAAACAAAATAAGTCATTCTAATATGCTGATTTGCTGCTCAATTATTATCAGTTATTAAAGGCATTAGCATAGAATTATTATCAGCATAGAATTAATTCTGGAGGATTATGTGACACTGAAGACTAGAGTAATGGTTGCTGAAAATTCAGCTTTGCTATCAAAAATAAATTCAAAAAACAGCTTTTTAACTGTACTATTTGTAGTATTTTTGATCAAATAAATGCATCCTTGGTGAGCACAAGACAATTTCAAAGACATTAAATATTTATTCCAAACTTCTGACTGGTAGTTTACATGAGCAATTTTTACAGTCACTATGCATAAAAACATATGCGTGTTTTAGAGCTGAAGTCTGCCAGAGCTGTAATTTCACGACACGAGGCGGAGGAAACTACACCCTCACACTTTCTAAACCTGCTATATGCACAGCAGATACTTGTATTTTTGGACTTTGACTGAGTGATTCACGCCTGGTTTGACAGTGAATATTGCACCTTGTAGAACACTCTAGTATTCTCTATCTAATCACATGAGGATCGACCGGTGGAATGACAAACCTGATGTGAGGGGAAGTTAAGCTCAATCTGTCATGCTGATGGGTACCACAGAGACTGCTCACACACAGCTGTGTGGTGGCGGGCTAAAACAGACCCCAAGAATTTAACTGACTCGAAATTGAATTGTGCCGTGTGTCTCTACTGCCCTCTGCTGGCTGCGGTAGAGACACGCATCATAAGAGTGAGATGCATCATGCTTAATGTGATTTACACAAGAAGAACATGTTCCTGGAACAACATCCCTATTGACCAATCACCGCCCTCTGATTTTAGCTGTAAAAGGATGATTGATACAAAAGCTGTTCCAAGAACAACAAAGCATGTTGATCCTGGAACATGTTCTGCTTGTGAATAATCACACTGTGTGGTGTATCAGGAGAGAGACAAACACAAATTCTCAACGTTAAAATGTTGTACTGTGTTAAATGTTGTTCCAAGAAATGACAAAAGCTACAACATCCCTGCGACCCCAAATTAGACAAGTGGTTTGGACAATGGAAAAATCAAATAAAATATAAAACCATGATCTGCACTCACAAAAACAGTCTACTTTTTTTGTCCTACTGGTGATCAATGTAAAATAATAAATTTTTGTGAGTGCAGATCATGGTTTTATATACTCTAGATAAGTAATCTAACAGATTGACGCACCAAAATAAAACACTAAGTGACAAAAGAGCATGGTGCAAGTGACTTTGTAAAAATAAAATAAATTAAAATTAAAATTAAATTAAATTAAATTAAATTAAAATTATTAAATTAAATTATTAAATAAAATTAAATTAAATAAAATTAAATTAAATATATTTTTCCCTGAATAAATATTCTTCCCTGTATTTTTATGCAGAGTTTAAAGAAGATATTCAAACACAGAGATCTACAGCAGAAACTGTCTGATGCCAAGCTGCAAGAAGCCAACATGCTCCTCAGTCAAGCTGAAGAGAAGCACAAAAGGGAGAAGGAATATGTAAGACACACAGATCTCCTATTCTGGCTCTTCAGATTTGCCTCAAGTAAAATGAAGGGCAGGCTAATTCATTCACATGTGCTTACAATTAATTTATTTACAAGCAGGGTCTAAAATGAACAATCATCAAGTGCAAAATGCAAGTAATAATTGGCTTGTAAAAGGTCAATTTATAAAGAACTGCAACATAATATATTAAGTTGATATGGTAATCTGACATTTCCTGATAAGTGAAGCGATGAATGTGTCATTCAAATAAAACATCTGTTGTGACTTGCAAGTTTTCTTAGTGGAAAATTGTCCATGTTTTTTCAATTCAAATTTATCTGGGATCTTTGTTTTGTCCCTTAATATATAGCCTATATTACTATATTATTAACTTCAATTTTCTCAAGAGTGGCAAAAAGTTCATGCTGGACCCTGTTTATAAAAATGTTTCAGTGAATCTCAAGAATTGGCACATGTTAACATCTCACTATTTATGTTGTTAGTTGCTTAAAGAGGCTATTGAAACAACAAAGAAATGCTACACAATGAGGGAGCAGGAGTTACAGATGAAGAAACAGGTAATGCAGAGTTCTCGGTCTCTCTCACCTGTTTGTGTGTGTGTGTCTTGTGTTTAACCAGTTACTCACTCAGGCTGCAGAGTGGAAACTACAGACTAAAGAGCTGAAAGAGCAGCACACTGTCATGCAGGCCCAGGTGAATATCTACCGCTGTGGCATTACCCACAATCCAACACTCTCTCCTCTCTAGCTGTGGCGTTTCTCTCGCTGAGCTGTGTGACAAACCACAGAAACCAATCGATCCTTAAAAGGCAATTTACGGTGTTGATTCATAGCCATTAGGTGCAATTGCACTAAATGCACTGTCTGAATACATTTCAGCTGAGATGGATAGATAAATTACAGACGGATGTTTAAGAAAAGCAATCATGAGAGTTTTACAGTTTTGCCTAAATTCTGTCTTCATTTACTTACCCTCGTGTTGTTTCAACCCTGTCAAATCTGTGTTCAGTGGAACACAAAAGGCGAAATTTTAAAGAATACTTTTTTATGCAATTACAATAAATAAGGACTGAGGTTTTCCAGTTACAAAAAAAAAGGAAATGAAAGCATCAAAAATGTGGTGCATATTGAGAAATATTATCATTCTGTCTTAGAGCAGATAAATCATCTAGATACTGATTAATTCTTTAAGGAAATGAATGTGACAACATCTCACTGTCTCTGAATCAACAAAAAAGATAATGAAGCTCTTTGAGTTAATCATGTTGATGGCTGTATGAAGGCTTCCTCTCTCTCATGGCTGTATTGTGACAACACAGACAGAAAAATATTATTTCAGTGAATTATTATAGTTCACAAGTGCCACAGGTGCTGAACAGCAAATACGACCTGGATGAGTTTCACTGCTGCTATTATAAAAAATAAGTGATGCCTTGCACATTACATACTGAGTCATTGCAGAACGTGTTCACTTATTTAAAGCTCTGTGTTTTTGAATGGAACATTTGCTTTGACTAACTGCAGATGGACTGAGTAAATTGCAGCTGCAAAATCAGTGATTAACTCTTTCATTTTCACATCAGGTCCATAATGTAAACAAAAGAATGAATGAATAAGTAAATGAATGGATGTATGAATGAATAAAAATAAATAAATATTTAAATATGTATTTATATATTTATCCATTCAATCATTAATGTATTAATCAATTCTTCATAAATATAAACAAGAAAAAAAGAACAAATTTTGATTTTTTTTTTTTCCCAAAATAAGATCAATATATAATAATTGAAAAGGAAGGTCAAGCTGATAAGTACAAATGTCATCATCATCATCATGCATGTTTTTCTTACGGCACAATTTATCAATCTTTAAAAGGCGATATTTACAATGATTTTCTCTGAATGATGCTAACTCTAATTCTCTTCTTACAGCTCGTGTTGTACTCCCAGAAGTTTGATGAGTTCCAGAACACACTAGCAAAAAGCAATGAAATCTACATCACTTTCAAACAGGAGATGGAGAGGGTTTGTTGTATTATGCACACTTTTACAGTCTTCTACAGTCTTCTTTTTACAACTTCTTAGTTGTTTTCCAGTGAAAATATCTACAAGATAAATTTACTTGAGAAGCAACACTGCATAAGATATTAAGACTTTTTTTTTTTAGAAAAAGTTTATTTAAAAGTGTATTTTGTCAGATTTTCCCACTTTTTAACTCATTTATACCTAAAACAAGTGATAAATATTCGTTTGTTAAGAATAGGATTTTTTGTTTTTGTTTTTGCAGTGAACAACTTAAAATGCCTTTGTTTATTTTAAAGCATATAAGTCATATGCTGATCATGTTTTTATTTGAATAGATGACAAAGAAGATGAAAAAGCTGGAAAAGGAGTCAAGTATATGGAAGACACGGTTTGAAAGCTGCAATAAAACTCTTGTTGAAATGATTGAGGAGGTAATTTACACACACAATTTGTTAGTATTTGACCATTAGCTTTTCACTTACTAACTGATTAACTCCACTCCAACAGAGATCAGAAAAGGCCAAAGAGTTTGAACTCTTCACTTTGAAAATCGACCATCTGGAGACTCTGTGCCAAGCACTGCAGGATGAAAGAAAAAGTTTATATGACAAAATTAAAGAAATACGGTCCTTAGAAAAGGCGACTCTAGCACCAGTGGTGGACTTGCCCCAAGTAGATGCGCTTCCAGAGCTCGTCCAACTTCCTAAGCCGGCTCCCAACCCAATGTTGACCGCAGAGATGAAGAGGCTGCGAGAGGAGCAGATCCGTCTGCAGGAGTTTGCAGCTTCCTTGGTAAGTTCCATAACAGATGATGCTGGAGAATCTGATAGTGAGGAAGAGAAGACAGCAGAAAAGATTCCAGCAATTCCTGAGGCTCCCAAACTTGAGTCCACCAAACCAGAGGATAAACCAGAATCAACACAAGAGGAACCCTCTACCACAGAAGAAAACAAACCAGAGGTTGCTAGAGTAAACGAAGAGAAGCCATCAGTACCCACAAATCCTGAACCCGCCAAGCCTCAGACGGAATCTAAACTTCTTCAAGAGCCTCTACAACCAGAGATCACTGAACAACAGACAGGAAAACAAGAGTCCGCCAAAGAGGAACCAAGCCAGGAAGAGGCAACAAAAGCGGAAGAGACGATCGAACAGGAATCCACTCAGCCAAAGCCTGTCATGAAAGAAGACAGCAAAGATAAAGCTGTTAAACCTGAGCTACCTGATCCAGAGCCGCCCAGACAAGAACCCCTCAAAAAAGAGCAGCCGAAGCCTGTCTTGAAAGAAGATAGCAAAGATGAAGCTGTTAAACCTGAGCTACCTGAACCAGAGCCACCCAAACAAGAACCCCTCAAAGAAGAGCAGCCGAAGCCTGTCTTGAAAGAAGATAGCAAAGATGAAGCTGTTAAACCTGAGCTACCTGAACCAGAGCCACCCAAACAAGAACCCCTCAAAGAAGAGCAGCCGAAGCCTGTCTTGAAAGAAGATAGCAAAGATGAAGCTGTTAAACCTGAGCTACCTGAACCAGAGCCACCCAAACAAGAACCCCTCAAAGAAGAGCAGCCGAAGCCTGTCTTGAAAGAAGATAGCAAAGATGAAGCTGTTAAACCTGAGCTACCTGAACCAGAGCCACCCAAACAAGAACCCCTCAAAGAGGAGCATGTTGAGAAAGCCACAGCTGCCTCTGAGGAAGCCAAAGCACCGGCGACAAAACCTAAAGCCGCAAAATCCCAAGAGGGAAAAGCGAAGGCCGGCAAAGCCCAGCCTAAAAAACAAGCTCCAGCCAAGAAGAAAGGTTCTGCAAAGGGCCCGAATAAAAGCTAAGCCGAAATGCATTACCAAAGGAGTTTTTCTTTTTATCGTTACTAGATCTGTTTGTTTGTGTACTTAGACAAGTCTTGTTGTTGACAAGTTTAAAGGCCAATTCACACTGCACTGGCAGATGCCAATAAACAGCAACAGACACGTTTGCCAGGTTTTGTCTGATCAGTGTGTTACTCCTGTCAGCATCTGTTGGTGTTGGTCTGTGCTTGTTTTTTGCCACCTGAATGTTGAATCAGCATTTATCGAGTCTTGGTATGTCTGAGAAGTGACGTAGGCTTACTGTGCTCGGTCGGCGTTGGTCTGCATCTGTCTGTGCAGTGTGAATTGGCCTTATAAGTTAATACAGACGATGACAGACTGGTCGTAGAACACGTTCCTTTATGAAAGTTTACTATAAGGATGAATTTCTAGCTTCCTGAATGTAATAAGGACTTTTTTCCCATTTGTAATACTTTCTCAGTACCTTCAAATAAATGTCTGCTCTTGACAATCCTATAAAATGTTCTCTTTCACAAAGACATTTAGTTCTATGACTAATACAATTTAATGCAAAGCATTATGTGAAAAAGGCAGATTACAGCTAAACAATAGGTTTTCAAATGTTCTGGAGAAAATTGCCAGGACGGTGCTACTGTAGGTGGGTGTTTAGCAATGAAATTTACACCACTTTCAGACTGGAGATGGAAAAGGTTTGTCACAAATTACTACAGTTTGGGGCAACAAATAATAGGGGGAAAAACATAAAACTTTTTATTCCAGTAAACCATTTTTAAAGTTGAAAACTTGTTGGTGTAGTGTAGACATACAAGATTTAAGTTTAATTAAAATTAAATAAAGGCAGATTACAGCTAATTACTAGTTTTTCATATTTTCTGAAAATAGTTGCCAGGACGTTGGTTGCTCGCAGTGGTGTTTAGAACATCGCAGTTGATAAATGCACTAGTGGTGTGCGATATTGACCAAAGTTATATATATATATTTGATTCCTATCCATAAAGATAATTAAATGATACCTTGGTTGGTTTAGGCCTTGTCAAGGATAAATAAACATGACTCCACAAAATCCGCCAGTAGGTGGTGGCAAGTCCCTGTCTTAAGTGATTCATTGAATCATTCATTCAAACAATTCATTCAAAACGGCTGATTCATTTGTTTCTGCCAGAAAGTAATGGGAGTTACCAGATCGTTGGGCGAGGCCAAAACAGAGGGTCGTTTTCAAACAAGTTACCTGATTGGCTCACGTCTTAGTGACGGGTATGTTTAGGGCTAGGGTCAGGTAAGGGGGATCATTTTCATTGCATGATTTGGGCTGTTTCTCAAACGGAAGGCTGCATCATCCAGAGGTCGCATTTCTAGGCTGCATACGTCATAAAGAAGATCTTATTTTAGAATATTAACAGTTATAAATTTGACCATTCTTTTCAAATATTTTCAGAACATATTAGGCATTATAAAACTGCCTTGAATGCAGCACACTCTTCCTATATTTCCGACATCATCAATAAAGCTAACAATAGGCCAAAAACACTGTTTAGCATGGTTAATAAATTAGTCCAGCCACCTAGCCATAGGCTCAGTCGATATGAATTTGATGATTTGTGTGGCTCTTTCTTGCGCCACTTTCAAATAAAACTGGATGCTCTATGTGGGTCTCTTGGCACTGAAAAAAACACTTCTACTTGTGAGCAAGCTCAATCTATTCAACTGTTAAATAATTTTACCTTGACAACTCCAACCTTAATTGCTGAAATAATACAGAACTCTAATTCTTCCTCATGCCAGTCAGATCCTGCACCCACATTCCTTCTGAAACACTGTACTTCTGTCATTTATGCTCCTATCTCACACTTAGTAAATATGTCATTTATCTCTGCCACTGTTCCAATTTCGCTGAAAACTGCTGCTGTTACTCCTGTTCTTACAAAAAAACAAACCTGGACCCAGCTGATTTCACCAACTATCGTCCAATCTCCAATTTATCATTTATTTCGAAAATTATGGAAAAAGTTGTTGCCAATCAACTACAGTCTTTTCTAACTCTCAGCGATCAGTTCGATGCATTTCAATCTGGTTTTCGCTCTCATCACAGCACTGAAACGGCTTTAGTTAAGGTTGTCAACAATTTGTTACTCTCTGGTGACTCAGGTAATCTCTCCATTCTCCTGCTGCTCAACCTCAGCTCAGCATTTGACACTGTCTGTCACAAGATATTACTCTCCCACCTTTCAGAGATAGGTGTCTCAGGTGCTGCACTATCCTGGTTCTCTTCCTATCTCACACTGATAGATTCCATGCTTTTTTAGTTGTTCAAAATCAGGAAAAAAAATTCTGACATAGTCTCTAATTTGCAGATATCTAAAAAAGTGAGAATTTGGTAACCCGAACTTTAATTGGAGCTCTCCTGGCTAAATTCTAATTTTCTCAGTTTGAATTTGAACCAAACAGAAATTTTAATTACTGGCCCCCCTTCACTAACAAAAAATATATTAATTTGTTTCCAAATTTTTAAAGACTGGCCTGTAACACTGCTGCAAGAATATTAACCCATACTAAACGATCTGCTCATATTACCCCCATCTTATTTAAACTCCATTGGCTCCCTGTATCATCTCGCATTACTTACAAAATTCTTCTGCTTACTTTAAATCACTTAATGGCCTTGCTCCTCCTTATCTCTCTGATCTATTGTCTCCTTACGTTCCGCCTCGATCACTTCGATCTGCAGGGTGTAAACTTCTTACTGTACCTAGTTTTCGTCTATTTTCAATGGGCAGCAGGTCATTTTCCGTAATTGCACCTAAACTATGGAACTCTATACCACTGGCACTAAGGACAATAACCTCACTCTCTGTATTTAAATCACAACTCAAAACCTACTTGTTTACCCAATACTATCAGTCATAACATGTTGTTTAGACACTCTCCTCGTCCTATACTACCAGCTGTAATTCTCTCAAGAGTATTTTCGTTCTGTGTATTTTTGTTGCATTTACTATTCTTTGTTTGTTACTTATTGACACTATCCTTTTTCTGTTGTTACTTATACTATGTTATGTATCTCTGTTTCCAGTACATAATTGTACCATGATATGCAACTGCAATCATGTCCATCCCCGGACTGGGCAAATGTCTACTGTCCACTGAATTTGATTAATTGATTGTGAAATGACTGTTTATGATTATGTGAAT